TGCTTCACAAATATATCTTTGACAAATTTTCATTAGCCTGCTCTGATCTACACTTGCTTCCTCTTCTCAGTTGTATGTCTGCTCTCAGTTTACCACCCTAATCTTTTATCCATGATCATGGTTACTGTTTAGCTAATGATTTTAGCCTTAAATATTCTTATAATGTTGTATTTCTCTGAAATAAAATTTTGCACTAAGTGTTCCTAAAAGCAAAGCCCTCTAATCAGGCAGATGAAACTCATTAGTGTTACATTTTAAGGAGCCTTCCTTTGATGCAAACTAATTAATTTTGCCCCAATGCAAAATTGTCCTATCTATAAATGGAGCTAAAATCTAATAAGATAAAAGAAACTCAGAGGGGAAAAAACTCTGTCATGAGAGCGCAGTGAGATGAATAGCTTTTGCCAGTCTTGGAAATGATGATGTGTTTCACAGCTCCGAGGCTGGATATTTCACAATTGCCAGTGTGTTTTAAGTTGCCGCTGTGAATTGATGGGTTTACATTGCTGGTTTTCATCCTTACAGCAGACAGTGACTGTGATCTAATTTATATTGTTCATGCTGGCCAGTGGTCAGTGCTTAGACCAGAGGCTGCCCTCAGTCATCTGTTTCGCTGTATGAACACCGGGATTTCAGTGGATTGGGGGATGTCTGAAGTCTGTGGACTGATAATGGTCCTCTGAGCTCGTTTCATTTTGAAACTCTGAAAGAACATAAGAGATTTACTAGAAATGAAAAATCTGGACACATCCTCTGTTTCAGAAAGGCCAAGCATTTACAGCACAGAGGTGAAACAGGCACCAAAAACCTGCTGTAACAGGCAGACCCACAGAATCACAGAATATGCTGAGTTGGAAGGGACTCACATGGATTGTCAAATCCAACTCCTGGCCCTGCACAGGACCATCCCCAAGAGTCACACCATGTGCCCGAGAGTATTGTCTAAATGCTTCTTGAACTCTGTCAGGCTTGGTGCTGTGACCACTTCCCTGGGGAGCCTGTTCCAGCACCCAACCATCCTCTGGATGAAGAACCTTTTTCTAATATCCAACCTAAACCTCCCCGACACAACTTCAGGCCATTCCCTAAGGATCTGTCACTGGTCACCACAGAGATCAGTGCCTGCCCCATCTCTTCCCCTCACGAGGCAGTTCCAGACTCCAATGAGGTCTCCCCTCAGTCTCCTCCAGGCTGAACAGACCTAATGTCTTCTGTGATTTTTTGGACCTTATACAGTTAGCTCTTGACTACCCTTGGCCCGGCTGTGTTTAAGATATACAAAACATATGGAATACAGTCTTTCTGCTTCTTACATTCAACAAGTCTAATGTTGGATAAAATTCCTAAATGAAGATGAATATGGTAGAGGCTTGGTAACTAACGCACACTCATGGTGAGGCTGTGTTTTCAGGAGTACCTGAAGAGCTCTCAGTCTCTTTCCTGAGTGGATCAAAGTCTGCTGAATTGCTTTCTGAGCTCTGCTTACTCATATCATTAGCAAGTACAAAGCTTTCTCCTTTGTTCGCTCTCCACCTCACTTTGAATACACAATATGCTGCTGTTCTACTAATTAGGCCAACAGGCTGAGGTTAACAAACACTCAGTGACTGCTCTTATCACCAGGCTTATTTATGCATTTGACTATTTTGCTTTCTGTTTGTCTGTGATGTGTAAGAACTGGATAATTCCTGAAGTTTTAAATTAAAATTATAACGCAGTAGAAATAATGTTACCAGGGTGGTTCCTCAATGAATGGGATGGAGTAGTATCAGGTCCTGGTCAGAAGTAATCCCTAAATGCTATGAGTGGCTGTTTTCAGTGCTGGTGGTTGAGGTTGCCTAAGGCTCTGAGATGCTTTGGAAGGCTCTTTTTGGAAGCTTTGTCTTTCATTCTCAGATTAGGTGTTTTGCACTCTGGTGCCAGAGCCCTCAGCACCAAGCAGCTTCTCAGCCTCCCTCCCCTTGCCAGGGCTCTGGGGGTGATGGCCAGGGTTGGTGTGGTGCAGATGTGTGGCCTCAGCTCACACCACTGTGAGAGCAGCTGTGAGCCCCCCCTTCACCCTTGCCTGAGCTACACAGCAGGTAAACTGTGCTTGGTCACGGCTCTTGCTGATCCCAGCTTGACGATGTGACTTCCCAGCTCGACCTCAGAACCGCTTGCCACTATGGACTTGTCTGGAGACCTCTTGGCTGAACCTGGGTGCCATCCCCGGGCTGTCCTGCTCCCCTTGCCGAGGTGCAGTGGCACTGCCCACCTGCCCCCAAGAGGACAGGATTGGGGTGCAAGCCCGAGCAGAGCAGTATTTGTCAGGCTCAGATAGTACTGATGGAAATGTATTATTTCCTTGTCCTCTCTAGGCTGCACTGCATTTCCAGACAGCATGCAGATCAGTTTGTCCAGTTTCCACTTGGCTTTCCCCACCCCGGCTGATGGTTCTGACTGGTCTAAATTCTGTTTACTCTACCAGCGCAGGGAATCTTTGCTGACTGGTGCAGGACCAGAGCTCTGTTGCTTCCTGCAGGTTTAACTTGAGGTGACTTGGCCAACACTGAGCAGATAAGGAAAAAAAAGAAGGTTGTAATTGGCACTTCTATACCCACAAACTCCAGAGTAATTGGAGCAAAGAGCCCTTTCAGGACTTTGGTTCATAGTCAGACAGTAGTTTTGTTTTAAATGTAGCTGATTGATATTAAGTTTGTGATATGATATTCAATAGTGAATACAAATTAGAGCCTGGTTTCTCCCTTGTCCCAGCAGCATGTAAACTGAGCCTTTGCAAAAAGCTTGCAAAGGTGATGTCAGGAAAAACTACACCTTGTTTGCTCAGAGCAGCAAGTAACTCATGTCACTCGTGATTTTATTTAGCTTTTATGAAATGAAAAATATTTCCTGACTCAGATGAAAGGGCTAATATTACTTCTTTAAACAGTCCAAAGCAAATATACAAACAGTGACTGGTCTGTTGGCTGTATGTGCTTCAGTAGATTTACACAGCAGCTCTGGCTTTTCAAACTAAGCACGCTTAAAGGCTATTGATACTACAGCTGGCTGAGTCATGCCAAGTGGGTAATTTGCCTCATTGGTTCTTGCACTTTTCATTGCAAAAAGATATTTGTAAATGTTTTAAATTGCTGTGGAACCTAAATTTCCCTTTTTCTTTTGTTGCTTATTAACTGCTTAAGAATGAAATGCTTTATTATTCAACAACTATTCAGTAGCATCAAGAGTAAACTGATTGCCAAACCACCCTCATGGGGATGTGGTTCCCTTCTCAGGGGATGAGTTATCACACAGAGAGTTCCAGATGTTTCTTGGTGATTACTGTGAGTTCAGTGCGTGACACTGTTGTAGCCTCGTGCTGGTGAAAGGCCTGGTGAAATGCTCTGGGAAGTGTTTTTTGGAAGAACTGGGGGTTCACAGAAGGGAGCAAATGGAAGTATTCCCTGTAGAAAGCCAGGGATTTGGGATTTCAGACCCACACATTTCTTAGAAAATATGAAAAGCTTTGGATTTGAAGCTTTTTAATTCCCAGCATTTAGGTAAATGACCTAAGCCACAATGATAGGTTACCTCCTTGGAATGGGAGAAGTCAAAGCTTGGCAGAATGAAGATTAGAAAGTGAATGGGAGCAAATGTTGCTTGGGTGTTCCGACAATAAATGCTTTATAAATATTAAAAATCAGCGGAAGAAAATGAGTCAGATTTTCAGGCCAACAGTTTTTTGGGCATCAGTATATGAGGGCATCAATAAAATTCAATCAGAATATGAGGAAAATCTGTAAAACCTATATTGGGAAAAAAAAATGTTTCAGAGGGCTGCGTGATGTTCATCTTCACTCTTCCCTGCAACTTCCGTAGTGCTTGCCTAACTGCTATGAGATTCTTAAAGGCATGACTTGTCTGCAGCAGTTAATTAACAGAAAGGCAGGGGGCTGTGATTAGAATTTGCAGTAATTCTGGAGAAAGTAATTAGAGCAGCCTTGGTATTAAGTTGTATTAAACCAGTTTTGTTCAGGGATTTAACACTTCATACCCTTTTCTGGAAAAGCTTCAAGTGGCCATTTTACCTCAGGCAAACACTCCTGGTTGGAAAGGCAGATGGCTGGGCCACATGAAGTCCAAGGGATGGCTGAGGAGGTTTATACCCCAGAAGTGATATTGTGAAATTGCCCTACTGGAGATTAGAGCACTTTCTCCTATCACGTGGGGAGAAGGGGTAATTCCCACTGATGACCTCGATGGGATTGAGAAGACTTTAGGGCTGACTGATTCTCTCCTTCAGTCTTGCTGTATTCAGGTAGATAATCTTATCTTTCAGCAGCAGATTAATATCTTTACAGATCATTCCCAATCTGCCCTTCCATGGTTCTTGCTTCAACAGTTGAACAAAATCACCTTCTGACTCTCTGTCTCCCCCAGTGAGAGCCCCTGTACTACACTGATTTTTCTTTTTTCTGTCTTTTTTTTTCCCCCCACAGACCAGCTTCTTCAGAGTGTTGGTGAATGTCAGGCTTGTGCTCAGTCTGGAAAGATGTGCCAGGTTAATTGAGTCCCTTTGTGTTTGACCCATGACCCATGGAGAGCAAACTTTTTCAGAGTAGGAGAAAAAGGAGAGGTAGGGCAGAAGGTTTATGTTGTTGTGTTTCACAGACAGCAAAAAGTGGGTCCCTGTGCTGCATGGCTTTCTAGGGAGTGGATGATTTGGAGGTGTGACAGTTTGTTTTTACTACTTTTCAGCCTAAAAATTCCCAGATCATTTTTCTACAAATGTGTACCCCCAAGTGTCAGAACCACTGGCTGATGGCAAACCCTGCTGTCAAGTTCCTGCTTTGAAGAACAAACCAGAAACTCTCCAAAAACTAGAAGAGAAGAGACAGCTGTAAGTTAGCAGCTGAGAAAGAGGAATGAGTTGTGGTGTTCTGGAGTCGCTTGATGTTCCTGGAGCTACTCTAACAAAGGACCCAGAAAATACAGAACTTCAATCTAACACCACCCTCTCACTTGGATCTAGATGCTGCTGAGAAGAGGAGAATTCATTTAATGAGGAATTATGAAGGAATAATGTAATTGAAAGCCGGTCTCGTAGCCTTCATGGTGAGGGCTGTCACGGTTACTGTCACGGTTGCTCTGTGCCAATGTGACAGGTTTTGTGGCAGCCACACGTGGTAAAGCCCTGTCCTGCAAAACCTGTGATCAGCTTGACCCACTTTTGAGCAGGGTCAAACCCGTGTTCGATCCTCAGGTGCTGATTATCTGTCTGGAGGGCTTTGTCTGTACGAGAGGCTATATGTGAGAAATCTCCTGTGGGCTTTAAAGAAAAATTAATCACTGTATCGCTTTGTTACTTTTAAGTAATTCTCCTATAAAACCATCCACAGGTTCCCAGGAATTGGAAAGCCTGTGCAGAGAGGAGCAGAGCAGGGTCCAGTGAGCACCCAGTGAAAACAGGCTGTAATCGAGTCTGTTCATGCTTTGTGGTTCTGCCCTTTCAGACTATGGGGCATGAACTCTGGTGAACAAGCACTTCTTACTAAACCAGTGAATCAGCTTCAATCTGGTCCCCAAAACTCTAGGCACCCCAGTTGTTTCCTTATGAAACTAATTAATTTCATATTAGGTTAAATTTCCTTGGCCATTACTGACCTGTTCACAGTGTTTCAGCAGCTCTAGGCCAAGCTGCTTGTGGGCTCTGGAGAGTATGAGGAGAGGGATGACCAGTGTCCCAGAAAGCTCCTGCTCAAATTGGAAATGACAGGGCGAGGATGGGAGGCAAGGATGCTCCTGTCTGTTTATCAGACTGGGCCCTCAGAGGTAGGAAGTGCCCTTAACTCTGGCATAGCTGGCAGCTCAGTTTATATCCTCTCCATGGCTCATGTGCTGTGAAGCTCATGTGCTTCTGCTGAGCTCAGCTTCACCATTTGTGACTTGATGTGGCCCCTCAGACTGTCCTGTGCCCTTCCCTGTGCTTCATGTCTGTAGATGGTGACCAAACCACTGCTTCTGCTGTCTCCTGGGGAGAGAGGAAACAAAGCTGCTGCTTAGAAGTGGTTGGGGAGACTGGCTCTTTCTTGAGCATCTTTACAGGTCTGACCTGTAGGGGAGGACATCGGTGTCCCTTAACACTAGAATAACCCATATGTGTACACCAAGAGTAAACTGGCTTTCCCAATGTATCTTGTGAAAGCTTATAGCCTTTGAAGGAAAGATAGATCTGAGCTAAAATAAAAAAAGAATTAAAATAATTCCTTCATTCACAGTTAAAATGACCTGAACTCAGCTGTCTTCTGATGCCCGAGGGAAATGTGACTGAGAATTGTATTTTGTGTTTTCTTTCACATTTTACCAAGGGTGAGCACAACATCTTGACAGAAAGGAAAGCACAGGAATTTCATCCTGGCTGCTATTAGGAAGTAGCCCAGACTTCCAAATAAAAGATGCTTACCTTCAATGGAAAGGCTTCTGGAGGGCTACCTAGACAGTAATTAAAAAAAAAAATTATGCAGAATGACATGTTAGTTCTTCTTATTGCTGCATTTGAGCTAGGAAAAATTGACAGATTAGTCATATTCTATTGTAAATGTCTTACTGTAGCCATGTTTACATATTTATCATTAATATCAGGCTCTCATACACTTAGGATTCTGGGTAAAGATCCTACAAATTGTTTGCTTTTTGAGTCAGCTTGTTTGATCAGGAGATCTGCTCTGTAAGAAGGAAGTGACATGTCTGTTATAAAGTTAAGACATATGAATAAATACTGCATTTTCTTTATGATCGGAAAATTGAAGCATCTCATCACAAAATACATTCGATTAGCAAACTGGAAAAAATAATGGCTTTTCCAGCTATGTCATCACTTACAGCCGTTCTCTTTCACTCTTGTGCTGAAGAGTAGAGCCAGCCACCCTTGGTCCTCTTAGAAAGAGGATTGTTTGAAGTTTAATGGCTTCTGGGAAGAAGGAAGACAGTGGCATCACTGGAGATGCTGGTGCAGGTGTGACTGTGCCTGCCTGAGTTAGGTGTTCGCCCGCATATTGGCTTCATCAGTATAATTTATCATGGACATTACACCAGTGTCTAAGAGATCTAGCTGGAGTCAAGGTTTCAATATTTTAGGCACTGAAGAGAAAAATACAGGAGATTTTTCAGACACTTGAATATATTAGGGTAAAACTAGTTGCTGCTGATTTTGAGTATTTCTTTGAAAGGTACGTTTGAAAGCAATGTAAAAAAAAGATCAATCTCTCCTCCTCCAGACTCTTAAAGCTTCCAAGAGATTATGTTCCTGGGGAACGTTTTGGCTTCTGCTGTGGACCACAAATCCCCTTATCCTAATGTTGCCAAGTCTGACCTGAGAGGAGAAAGTGAGGACTGGGATTATTGGAGTTTAAAAACCATGAATTTTTAAAATATAAACATACGTCTAGATGTACACAGAAAATGAATGACAACATATATGATATGAAAATACATAGTTTCCCGCTAACAGAAATGTAATTATTCTTCCTGTATGCGCAGAATGTTCTGAGAAAAGAAGTAATATGCTGCAATTTATTTTCACAGCAGAAAATGCACTGTTATTTTTAGTGAAGGGGTCAATACATCTACCTGCCGTGTTTCCCTTTGAGACTACAACCTGTACTACGTGCTGCCGAGCACTTAGAGGAGTCCCTCACTGCTGATTCCCTGTAGCTGAGCTGTCACCTTGGAGCTAACTTTGCTTAGAGCCCCTCTGCTATGGGCCCAGCCCTCACCGCCTCTCATTTCTGATGCAGTTTGCCTTCCCTTTCCCACAGGCAGCATAAAGAACACTTTACAGCGAACAGACAAATGTTTGGAAGTGGCTGTGTGGACACGGTGGAGAAAGACAGATCCCCTCCATCCAAACACTTGCTCTCCTCAGCCCCGTGGGGTGCAGGTCTGTGTTAATGCAAACCCCACAGTTACCCATAAAAAGTCAGTCTTCTCTGACCCCTATTAAATGACCTTGTACGGGTGACTGAGGAGGTGTAACTCAGGAGGGAAAACGGCTCTTCTTGCGCGGGTTATTCCGGGGTGCAGCGATGGTGGGTGCGCGGTGGCTGCATCTGAACATCGCTGCTCTGCGAACTCTCTGAACAAACAGCCTCCAGCGGGTGCGATGGAGAGGGTCATCGAGGCCCTTCCCCAGCTGGGACGGGCAGCGCTTCCCCCCGCCTTCCTCCCTCCCTCTCTCCATCCCTCCCCCGGCCAGGGGCGGCTCTCGCCCCTCCATAAAGCCGCCCGGTCCCGGCGCTGCCCTGTGCCCGCCCGGCCATGCACCCCTCGCCCCGCCGCGGCGGATCCCTGGAAGCGGCGCCGAGCCTGGATCCCGCTGGACAGGTGAGGGGAGCGGGATGGGCTCAGGGAGGGGAGCGGGACCGGCGCCGGGGACAGCTTTGCGGGGAAAACGCTGCTTCTCTGAAGTCGCGGTTCTCGGAGCGGGGATTTGGGGGAAAGCGCAGCTTCCTGGTGCCGGTTACTTGGAGAGCGGTTAATTGGCCTGGGATGCGGCTCCTCTGGTATCGGTGGGAGCGTTTCATCGCTGGGATTGGGATGGGACTGGTTATGCTGCTTCTGGTCAGAAGTGTGGGAGGTAAAAGTAGTAAAACACAAATGCGAGCACATGAAATTAAGGTAGAATAAAAGTAACTTCTGGTGCATCGTTGCTTAGGAGACACAGGGTGTGATATAGCCCAGAAAAACTAATTCCTAGGTTATTTCCCGTTACAGTGGGAATATGCTCAATGTGTCAGAGAAGATCAGATAAAATCAGAGCTTATGTGCTGGCTGATACCGTGCAGCTGATAAAGTCTGTAAAATTCCTTGTGAAAACAAGAATGCTGCCTGTAATGGAGAAAAGTTTCACAAAAATGTTGGTTTGCTGTAGCCCTTGGATATTTGGAAGCCAAATAAGGTGTTCAGCACAGCTTTTAGTTTGGTGACTGAGAACTAAATCTAAAGAAGACCTTTGGTGTGGCTGGAAAATGTACACATAAAGTGACATCTAGTCGTGGTCACTTGTAATATCATGTCTTCACCCTTCCCTACTAAGAAGTGTGTCAAAAGGACAGCGACAAAGTAAGCAGCTACTTAGAGGGAGGAGATTATAAAATGTCCATTGAGACTTTTTATCAAGCATGATTAATGTCAATCCGTATCAAATATTTTTTTAAAAAATAATTTTTTGTCTTCAATGTATGGCTCTAAAATGTAATTTCCTTTAGATGAATATGTTTGGATAATTTTAAATCCTGGTCATCCATTAGTATAATGAATTAAATCACAAAACATGCACCCTCAAATATCTATCTCACACAGAATATTCTTTGGGGAGGAGGAGAAAGGAAAGGTAATTGCTATGAGCTCCAAAAAGAATAATCTTTAACCTCACAACACCTAGTTATTGATCTAAATAAAGGCTTTAGGATATCCTTCTGTTTGCATATTTTCATCAAGAGAGAGTCAGGTTGATGGAAAATCAGTTCATGATTTACATCACTCATAAAAAACATCAATGCAATATTAATTCCCCTTCACCCTCCAAAAGGCTTGAATGTGTTACCGCGCAAAGGAAAAGTGTCTGATTTTATTACAGTTTAGTTACTGATACAGAATAAAAAATGAATGTGAAGGTGCAGCCATTGGAAGAGAGGAATTGTTTTGCATTACCATTTTCTCTTGTTGCCTTGCACCCAAATGGTTGCTGCATTAATGCAGACTTGTCTACAGCCCAGTTTCTGATTGAAAGTGAAAGATCAGCATTAGTGTAGGGTTAAAGATGTAATTGGTGTGCGTTTGGCATTATAGGCATCTGAATTTCTCTTCTGCAACTTCTTCTAATTTACAGGTTAGAAGTCATTTCTAGAACTTAATATAAGAAGATACTGCATTTTGTTGTATTTTCTTCATCGGTCTCTTTAAACCTATAACTTTATAAATGTTGTCACCTGATTCCAGACACAGTTGGTTGCAGCAGCGAAATACAAAATAAGAACTCTTCGATGCCTGTATTCTGTTCTAGCTGTGCACCTTATAACATTGCACGTAACTGTGCCAAATCTCATAAGGTGATCTGGTCTTCAGTCATGATCCTGAATATGGAATGAAGCCAACAGGCTGCATATTAGTCATATATATAAAGCAGCCCATCAGTTATTGCCTTCAACGACCACCATCTAACTCTATTTGTAGCGGAGACTTCCTTGCATCCAGTTTCTTCTACAGCAGTACAATCTGAATAGGATTTGGCTCACACAAATGGCCGTCTTTGCACTTGAGAAAACAACCAATAACCTATATGGAATTGTGGAGTCAGTAGATATTCCTTTTCTACTTGAAGTACCTTTGCTCAGTGCCTCTTCCTGGCTCTTGTAATCATGATCTGACACTGAAGCAAACTCTGAACCTGCAAGCTGCTCAGCTGAACCTGGACTGGACCCTGTCACACACTTTCAGCAGAGAATTTGATGTCTGGACTCCAGCTGATGGAGATTAGTGACTTTTCTGAATCAGAAACAGTGTGAAGGTCTGACGCTGTTGTTCAGGCTCGTCATATAGTGACAACTCATTAGAGATGGGGACCTGGTCAGAAATCCAGATATTTTCATCAGCATCAGTGGGCTTGGACCTCTTCTATGGGATACCACCTTGGCACCCTAAAGTGCTCACATATAGTAACCCTCTTGAAACTTTTCTTAGAGCATGATCAAATATCTGCCTCATTGTAAACCACTCAATTTAAGATGAAACTAATTTCATTATTTTGTGAGGCAAATTGCCTTCTTCATCTGAAAAGTAAATCAAAACATTTTGATAGAAGACAGGTAAAATACAGGGTTTTTGTTTTTAAACCACTCAGTTACAGATAGAAACAATTAGCTGTTCAGTATTATCAATTTTAAAGAGGTTTAAAGTTGGAGAGACTGTAGAAGGGAGTCAGTGGAACTGGTGTGTTTTGATTGCATTTTTGGTTTGCTCTTTCCATTTCTGAAAATGTCTCCAGATAGTCATATCTTTAAAAGCTGTGTCAGATCAAAAAATAATTCCAAATAGCAATAGAGTGCCTTAATTTTTCCTTTTCTGTCTCGCTGACTAATTCAGAAACCTCACCTTTTTTCTTTCTACTTTTGCAAGGTTTGAAGACATGTGAGACACGGCCTCTTCTTCTAAGCCTTGTATTTTTTCTTAACTTTGCATTTTCCACATTTTTAACTGTTTCAAGATTATCTCTGTTTATGGCCTGGCTACCTGTAGCTAAGGATATGGTCTTTGATATCAACACAGCCAGGAGTGTGATCACTAGTAAGGTACAAAATCACACGGTCCGATAGTGTTTGAAGTCTAAATTTTTACTGTGTGATTTGGGTGATTATGCCAAGGGTTTGACATAGGAATTAGGGAACCTGGCAGATGGAGTAGCTTGGCTGGGGCTGATCGGAGTGGGATTGTCTCAAGTCAACAGGTTCTGGTCAGCATAACATTTTTAACTCCTTATATTTGTCTCCTTGCTCAATGGAGACAGTACTTTACAGTTATGTAATGAGAGAAAGGCAAATGATTTTTCAGTTCTGATCTACTGAATCCTGTTCCATCTTTTCCTATTTACATCCAGTGGGATGTGGATTATTCTCTTTACTAACATTTGTTGAGCTTGCTAATGAAGTGTTTTGTTCAACATACTATTTCTGCTGACACCTTATAGTTCCCCTTCTTCATGGTAACAATACTAGTTATAAACTACACATTGAAAACATTTTCTGCATCCTCGGGAATGACTAAAGGTGTCTATAAAACCATTCAACTAAAAAAAAAAAAGATATCTTGGTATTTCGTTCTCAGATCTCACAGATTCCACGTGTCCCTTAACCTTATGCCTGTTATTGTGTAATGATTTAGTTCAAAATTTTCCTTTTGTGGTTGACCAGTCAAAGCACAGCGTTACCCCAAGACAAACTGAAATGTAAAAGTTCACACTTTTTGCACTACTTCCTGTTCAAAAAACCTTTTTATTTGTCTGAATTTAGTTAAATAAGTCAACTTACATGATGATTGAAGATAATAAAGAGAATGAAGGCAATGCATCTGAGAGAGGAAGGACAGCCATCATTTTTTCCTTGAAGAATGAAGTTGGAGGACTTGTAAAAGCATTAAAACTCTTTCAGGTACATTATAATCATATTGCTACAGCTGCTCTGTATTTTGAAATTGTAAGGATATTTTTGGAACACACTAGAATTAATTACATCCATTTATTAAGAACATGATTCTTCACCTGGCTCCCACTTTGCACGCAAAATTACCCAGAAAGGCAAATTTATTCCTCAGAAATTAGATGATGGTTGGCTAAAAATTTTCACAAAAATTCTCATCTGCACGGACTAAATACTGAGAGAGGTTTGTCTTTTCCCCTTATGAAAAGAGGATTGGGACTAGTTTTTGCAGAGTATAAGAGGTGGGTCTGAAGCTCCTGCTGATGGCAGGTAGATATTTGGGGTGCTGTGCTGAGTCCAGTGCCCTTGTCACCCTGTGTGTCCAGACTCTGGGTGGCAGAGGAACTGCAATTGCACAGCTGCTGGGCAGGTATTGTGTAAGGAATATATGCAGCAGTGCCACTGTGCTCTGTCATGTGGCTCTGCATGTCGTAGCCTGGGGTTTTCTCAATGATCCTAATATAAAAAACAGGATTAAATAATTTTTCAAATAAAAAAGACATGAAATTTATGCCCTGAAAACTACTGCTTTTAAAATTTCTTGCTTGGTTGTTAAATAATTATATGGTGAATTGATCAGTATTTTGGTGAATCTCCCCAGACCCAGTTGCTAATCAGCTTCCTATGGGAAGGATGAAAGAAAAAGGTCTGTGAATTTAAACTTCCTGACTGTTTCTATGTGCTTCCTGCATGTAAATAAAACTGAAAGAACACAGGTTCTCTATTGTTTTCTTCTGAATGGAAAATCAAATAATTTCCCCCCCTCCAAAAAGCAAATTGCTATCAAGAGATCCAGTTAACTAAAATAGCTTCATAAAGATAGTGAATAGCCCATGGCAGTAAAACACTAGTTTGAAAAACAAATTTTAGGTTTTCGGTCTACCTGTTTGAAAACATTGCTTCTTACGACACAGGAGAAGCATGTAAATCTGGTACACATTGAGTCACGGAAGTCCAAGAGACGAAATTCTGAGTTTGAGATCTTTGTGGACTGTGACAGTAACAGAGAACAACTGAACGAGATCTTCCAGCTCCTGAAATCCCACGTCAACATTGTCTCTGTGAGCCCAACAGAGCATTTCAATGTCCACGAATATGGTAAGTACAAAAGGCATTTCTGAGGAAAATGCCCTTCTGACTGTGTTGGTTTGAAATCTTTTTACGGTGTCCACACCTGCATTTGTGTAGTGTCTTCAGTCACCAGTTACCAGGTGCGTGCTTCTGTGTTGAGAGTGAGCGTAGTCTGGTTGACATGAGCAGGGCTGCGCTGGTTGGTGCCACCTGGCAGTACAGGCTCCTTCAAGCTGCTGCCAGTTGTGTATCTGCTGTCTGTGCTCCTGTCCCTCAGCAGCACAGCCCAGCTGGCACCAGTGAGAGTTCTGCATCCATGCAGGTCACCGGAGGCTGGCCTGTAGGTAAAGTCTGAATGCAGGGCTTGAGAACACCACCATGATGGAGGTGTAATACTGGCATATCCCAGTTCAGTTCAGACACGGGTGAGAGTGGAAGATGGATTCTGCAATTTCCTCATGTAGTTCTTCATTTCCTTATTTTTTAACCACTTTTCAACATAACTGATCCCTTATAATAGTGGGAAAGAGGTGCCTTTTACCCTTAGGATGCTTCGCATCCTGTTTACTTCTAGCTAAAAAGATGCCCTAAGTTCAGGGCAGTAGGAAGCTAGTCCCATGTATTTCTCAGCCACTGTGCTTGTGAAGGACAGATCTGGTGCTCTTGGATAAAACAGCTTACTTTAGCTCTAAGTAAGATGAAATTCAATCCAAACAGTGCCCTGACCTTTCTAAGTAAACTGAAGAGCACTGAGGCAGAAAAACAGTGTATTAACTGCTCTGCCAAGAGCTTGGTGAAGAACCCTCTTAGGCTAAAAATAACCCCAAAGTAGTTGGTAGCAAGACTGTAATGATGCCCCTCTCTAAGGCTGCAGGGCCTCCTATTCCTTTTCCCCCACAAACTCCTCAAAAGGCAAAGCTGGATGCATCTAAGGTACATAACCATAGAGAAACATCTATTTCCTGTGGTCAGTAAAGCAGGATGGGAGAACTCTAACCTGCTCCCATTCTGCCTAGGGACCACAGGCAAATCACTTCTGTACTCCTTTGCACACTTTGTGCACTACAAGATTCCCAGCAGCACACACAAGGAGACCTTGTCTCTGTGGGAGCCTCTAGATCTGCTCTAACAACACTTAAGGGCCAGAGAAAACCCATGTTAACTGTTTCCTTCCCAGAGGCTTTGGAGCTGGCTGTGCTCTGTAGGCAGACTGTGGCAGTGACCGAGGAGGAAGTGTGAGCTGTAGGCTGGTGCCAGATAGGCAGAGGAGTCTCTTGTCTTATTCATGCCCTTTTAATTTATAGATTTAGCTGTAACCGCCATAGCCATTCTTGAAAGCAGCGTTTCCTCCCTCAGCATGCTCGGTGTTATTAATAACCTTGTGGATTCCATGTGTTCCCCAGACATGGAAAATGTTCCCTGGTTTCCAAAGAAGATCTCAGATTTGGATAAGTGTGCGAACCGAGTGCTGATGTACGGGTCCGATTTGGATGCCGACCATCCCGTAAGTACTTTTTCCTCCCTACATCCATTCTGTAGCGAAAAAATACTTTGTGGAGCTGACTTTAAAAAATTGCAGCTTTTCTTCCTCCCTCTCCTCTCCCTCAATGGTGCCTCTGTGGGTCTGAGCACCTTCTCTTGGGGATTTCATGTCTCTTTCTTAATTCAGGCAAGATTGAATTCAGCTCCAGTGCCTTTCTGCAAGGCTTACTTGTGTGAGAACTCCAGGTCTGGGCCCTGAGTGGTTGCATACAAATTAAAAAAGAAAAAACAAAACAAAACAAAAAAAAAAACAAACAACAAAAAAAAGAACGCAGGCTTTGTTCCTCCTCTTTCTTTCTTCCTTACTGGAGCAACCAAATTAGTATTTGGGCAGTGCAAATGAGCAATTTGTTCTGTAATTTAGAATAATCAAGCAAGTTACAAAGTTTGTATAAATACTGATATGACTAAAATTAATCCTTGTCTACTGAATATATAGTTGTATACATAAAACAGCTCATTCTTACTTTGGAGTATTTGCTTACTTCCTGATTATTGAACATTTCAGACTATAGCTATGAGGTTCCTGTTGTCTCATTCTTACACAGCATAGTTTTGTATTTCCCAACTGAAGTGTCATGCGTCTTGTTTTAAATTAATTTATTTATTACAGGTTAGAAACTTATTTAACTTTGTTTTCTTCCTTCCCCCTATCAGGGTTTCAAAGACAATGTCTATCGCAAGAGGCGAAAGTATTTTGCAGACCTGGCTATGAACTACAAACAGTAAGCTTGAATTCTTCCAGAGTAAGACTTCTGGGTGCTTTGAAATAATAGCAGAGTGGACTGTGAGGATCTCACCTTCCCTGGGCTTGGATCAGGCTGAGATATGCTTGGCTCAGGAGTCAGAGCCAAGGGGGTAAAATAAAGGGAGATATAAGAGAAGATTAACAGGTAGATCTAGCTTATTTTGCAGCTCTGGTCAGTCTGCTTGGCCATTATGGCATCTGCAGTAGTGCTGGTCCTCAGATGGGCAGTGATGCCAGCGTGGTGCATTTGGACTCTGCAGTTCTTCCCCACTTCCCTGGAAATGGGTGCAACAACGAAGGAGGAAAGACAATGCACATTGCTCAGCTGCCTGTGCCAGGACTTACTGGCCATCAGGGCAGATGAGTCTTCTTTGCAAAGGAGAGGGAAGGGAGGCAAACCCCAGTATAGCCCATTGACCACAGAGTGTAAACTCTCTGGGCAAATGCTAATACTTGAATTTTCTTTCCTGGTTCAAACTAATGCATGTGATGTGTAGATAAGAAGATTTCTGTGAAAAGAAATTCGAAGCACTTCTGTCTTTAGAGATGCTGCTTGGGGGAGGAGCTCTTAAAGCAGCAAGAGTTTCACAACTCAGCGCTGTGAATTCTTTCTAAATGCGATTTTTCATGTTGATGCTGCCTGATCGAATTTAGGTGTCAAGTTCCTCAATTGAAAATGACCAAGAAAGCAACAGGTACTACAGCACAAAGCTGATTACTGTTAATGTGTTGTTGACAGAGATTCCCTTGGGAAAAAAATTGCCATGATGGTTACTTGACTGGCAGTGGAAGCTCAGTGTAACACTACCATTGCTATAATCCATTTTAATCAAGGTCCTGAGGACTAAATAGGAGAGACAGACTACAATTAATATGTTCAGACAGGTGCTTGCCTCTTCTGCATAGAAGTGTGATTTTTACCAGATGTATCTGCTTTGTGCTGCTAATTTAGGGAATTCTCTTTTCCTAAAACAAATCAAAAGGGTAATGGAAAGTAATTGTAGACATGGAAGTTCAACTGGGAAAAGAATGCGTTCTCAGATCCTGAAGCTGTAAAGAGGTTATGCAAGTATTTTTAAATCTTACTCTCAGAATTGAACACCTAAGAAACTGTTTACGGAACCAAAGCTTTCAGGCTCTGGTGACGTCAATGCAAAGATTCCTGACAATTGGTTTAGGTGGAAAAAAGAGCAAACCCTTAGACTAAAAGCTCTCCAGGGCATAGACCAGATCTCACTGTGCATTTGACAGTGTCTAATGCACCCTGGCCAGGTGTCACAGCCATATAGGTGTTAAACAGCAATAGTAGGTAAATGAGTCACCTGTTATTAAGCATTTACTGAGGAACATCCTTTCTTCCTCCTCTCCTTGTAGTGGTGACCCAATTCCCAAGATTGAATTCACTGAGGAGGAGATCAAGACTTGGGGGACTGTGTACCGAGAGCTCAGCAACCTTTACCCAACTCATGCCTGCAGAGAGTACCTTAAAAACTTACCCTTGCTCACCAAATACTGTGGCTACAGAGAAGACAATATCCCCCAGCTGGAAGATGTGTCCCGCTTCCTGAAAGGTAATGTGCTAATTTTCTTACATGAAAAGACTAAGGCCCACACTATTTTGTTGGCACAAGGGAACATTCTTGGTCACTTTTGCTTGTATTTGTTCTGGTCCTTTAAGAAGTATTTTGGCCATCTGTGTTTTAAAGTATTGTGTCTTGAACATATAAAAACAGTGACATTAGAGGGACAATGATACCTTGGGCTTGGCTAAAGAGATATGTAGCTGTAATGTTGACTCTAGGCATGGAATCACAGGAAATCCACTGACATAGAGATAGAGACATTTTTAATAAATGTTGGTCATTCTCAGGTTTAGGCCTAATTTTTCTAATTAGGCTAAAATCTGTCTGATTTTCCCACGTGCTCTTGAGGCAAGGTAGTGCTGTGGTTTTCACCCCAGTTGCAGCAGGAAAGCTGTCAACGTTGTGCATTCTACACAAAACTAATGTACAGTTTCTCTGTTCATTTTCAGAGCGTACAGGTTTCACCATTCGCCCTGTTGCTGGATATCTGTCTCCCAGAGACTTCCTGGCAGGATTAGCATTCAGAGTTTTTCACTGCACTCAATATGTTAGACACAGCTCGGACCCTCTCTATACACCAGAACCGTGAGTCATTTAATCTTGTGGTAGAATCTGAGAGAGAGAAAGTTTTGATTCTTGCTGTTCAGAGCCAAGCTACTTAAAAGCTGTTCAAGAACGCCATCATAAAACTTACTTTTAAGGTGCTGAAGACTCAGCCTTCACTGAATATAATGGAGTTTTAGCATGTTGAAGTCCTACCTTTATAAGTACAGGATTTTCAAAAGTACAACATGTTACTGGAGATCTCTTACTGATGTCACTGTGTGCAGTTAGTTTAATATTCAGTTGCCTCATAAATGTGGAGTTCAGATCTTAATTTTAGACAACTTCATTTGAAAATATACATTTAGGTATTTATGGAGAGTTGGTATGAGCTGCCTAGTTGCTTTCAGATAAGTGAGTGACATTTTTCTGTCTTTTGGATATTAAAGCTTAATGCAAGACATTGTATCTGTTCAGGGGTGCTGCTTTTTCACTTTGCCACAAAGACAAATAATGAGATTTCTTGTTTTGTTTCTTTTTCCAGTGATACCTGCCATGAGCTCCTAGGCCATGTCCCTCTTTTGGCTGAACCCAGTTTTGCTCAGTTCTCCCAGGAAATTGGTCTTGCATCACTTGGGGCCTCAGATGAGGCTGTCCAAAAACTGGCAACAGTGAGTGTTTGAGTGCCCAGTGATTCTATCAAAAGCTTTGTGCTTTACTAGGTTGATCCCACTCCATCAAATAAATTTGGAGCTTCATGTTAACATTGGCCACAACAGCTGTAAGATCTATGTGTTTCACTGGTCCCTGGTTTTGGGGTATACAAAAATTTTCCACGCTAGGAAAAAAATACACTTTAAAGTTGAGATGACTGGTATTTTTCTTCACTTGACTGTCAAGTAACAATTCAGCTTCTGCTGGTAGGTCACTTTTTCCAGACTGAAATTCTCTGGTCTATTTCTTCCAAACAAAACTTTTCTTACTAACGGGAACATGATTCAAGGATTTTAAAAGTAATCTATTTCTTTAATGTGTAGAAGGAATTGAAATGATATTCAATGTGGTGAGTGCTAGCATTAGGTAGTCTTCAGCCAAGAAAGTAAAATAATATAAATTAATCTAATTTTCTGGACATCCATTTCTAGCAAAAATATTTTGAGATTAAAATTAAATTTAGATAAATAATTGATGCCAGTTATGAAAGAATTGTTTTAGTAACTTTTTTCCCCACCTTGTGTAGTTAGTGGTAAAATTTCTACTACCTTCAGTGGGAGCAGAATTAAGCCATCTATGAAAATAATGTTTCTTCCTGTATACCTGTAGAAATCCTGAAATCCACCAAACTGAAAATCTTCAATTTTACAGGACACTAAGCAAATGAGAAACAAACTGTAGTGGGCTGTTTTCACTCACTCAGAGGCCCTCTCTATCCAGCGTTTCTTTTAAGCTGAGGCTGTTATTTCACGTCAATATTTCTCAAAAGAGATTTACATCTCACTGTTCCCACTAACATTAGCAGCTTCTAGCCTAGCTGGGTGATCTATAACATCCACCTTTCCCATGAGAGTCATGTAATCTTGTGGTTCTTTACCCCCTTTCATTCTGGATTCCCTCTTTAAATATCCGAGGACAACTGAGGGATGACTGTCTGATGTTTGCCACTATTTGATGCTACCTACAAATAGAAATGCTCACATCTACTTCACCACAGCATCTTTGATGAAGGCTGAATTATTTTACTTTCTTCTCTGTTTCAGTGCTACTTCTTCACTGTAGAGTTTGGCCTGTGCAAGCAAGAGGGACAACTACGAGTTTATGGGGCTGGCTTGCTCTCTTCGATTAGTGAGCTCAAGGTAAGAATGTCTGCTGCTTATTTAACTATTTTCTTTGTACCTGCTTATTATTGCCACTATTTTGCCCTGCTTTTTATAAAGTATAATTCTAAAAATCTTTCTTTTGAAAACTCTTAAATACCTACTAGGCTTTAAGAAAATTCACTGTGGCAATAATTATGGGCAGTGGTTGCTGCTTTTGGATATATGCTGAGCAGATCCCCTATCTTTTGCAGGAAGCAGTAGGTGACTGGCATTTCTTAACATTTGGGTCCAAGCATCTTCTTTTAGATTAAAGCTCTGTTGGCTTAACCAAATTCAGAAAATATTGCTCTTGTTTACACATGAGCCTCACGTCTGTGGAATCCCATTTTTGACACAGACTGGCAGAATATGACCATTCAGAGTAATTCAGTTTGTTAAGCTTTAAATGCTGTTTATCTGCAGATAAAAATTTTAAGATGCAATGCACTAAATATCAATCTTTTTTATTCATTTTACTACATGTCATGTTCCTCATGGATTCTTTGGATGGTGATGCTCCTCTGACCCATGATAACACATCACCAGCACTCGCTCTCTGACAGTGCCAAAGTCAAGCCTTTTGATCCAAAGGTCACCTGCAAGCAAGAATGTCTCATTACAACTTTCCAGGAGGTTTACTTTGTTTCTGAGAGTTTTGAAGAAGCAAAGGAAAAGATGAGGTACGAATTTTCCCCTCCTCTTTTATAGAAGCAGATTTCACTTTGTACACCTCTCTGTAGCAGCTTCAAATCCTTTTATTCTTATCACAGTTTTGTAATTATTTTTTTCGTGGGATTGAAAAGTCAAGATTGGTATTTAGTTTATCTTCCATGTGGTGGGTGGAAGAGATGAAGAACTATTTTTAAGTAGTTTTGAAAAGTGGTTATTTATACTGGCTGCATACAGAGGATGCACTGGTGGTTTTTGGTTGGTTTTTTTTTTTTTTCCACTTCTATAGAGAGTTTGCGAAAACCATCAAGCGCCCATTTGGTGTGAAGTACAATCCATATACACAGAGTGTGCAGATCCTGAAAGACACGAAAAGCATTGCCAGCGTGGTGAATGAGCTACGTCATGAGCTGGACATTGTCAGCGATGCCCTCAGCAAGATGGGCAAGCAGCTGGAAGTTTAACACCCTGTCAGCAGTGTGGTGCAATCCAATTCTTTTCTTTTCCTTACTGATTTCTTTCATAGGCTTATAATGTGTTGTAGGCTGAACTCATTCCTTTACAAATGGAAGAGTGAATGGCTCATAAGAATAATGTCATCTTGTTTCTCTCTGTAAAATCCCTTACATAATGTATTTCTCTATCCCCCTTAGATAAAAAAGGTCCGGAGCTGCCTTTTAGAAGCTGATAGGGGAGTAGAGAAAGTGGTAGAATGGAGAAGAAGTGTGGTCTTTGGATCAGGGCTGGGATCAAATGCCCCAGAAAGTGGCTTATGAGGCAATAATGGAATAATTCACCTTTCTGCCCATTTCTGACTCCAGTAGTCTTTGCTACTGATTTTATAGCATTGAAGACTTGATAATGTAGAAGCTGTGGTAATCAGTGCTTCTAAGTCTGTACTACTAAGTTTAAAACTTGAATGATTACAATGCACACATCAGGACACAAACAGCTGGAGGTTCAACATGATAAAATGGAGGGGTCAAATCTTTCAGAGGGATTATTCTTGTCCACAAAGAATTGCAAATGTGCTGTCTGGCATGCTTCTAGTATAAGGCAGAGATACAGCTGTTGCATGCATCCTAATTTTAAGAGATGTGCTATTGCCTAAGAGTCAGGATTTGTATTGCTGTCCCTGATATTCCACGTGAGGGAAGACCTTTCCTTACAGAGATACCATTTGCCTTTTTCCTCATTGAAATAATCTAGCAAAAGAATAGCAAGACATCAAGTGTACTGCCTTAGCACAAAGCCTAGAACCATTTCCAAAGTACAATTTAATATTCAAAAGTTTAAAATAATAGCCAAAGTTCATAGTTTAGTGTGGTTGTTATAAAAATAAATATCCTGTTGATGATTGCTCAGTCACTTTATTGACCAGCACAAGTTGCACAAAGATACGTTTAGCTTCCTCTTTACTTGGCTTGAACACCTTCACTCCCTATCAATTGATAACTGAAAGGCCCAAGCATTTAATAGGAATTTTGTGGTCATGAAGGCAATAAACTACCTTGTAGTGTAAGGTATATCTAACTCCAAAGAGCACTTTGCAAGTGGTGGGAAGCAGTGTCCTGATGAATTGCCTATATTTCACAGTAGCCAACTTGCCTGATTTCAGGGCCCCATAGTTTCAAGCATCCTGCCCAGCTGTGCAAAGCTGTGCTGGCTGCTGCTTCTGCAAGCTCTGCTGATGAAATGGACAGGAGGTGACGGGTTTGAATGGGGATCTCTGATGTGCAGGGTGTATTTAATAGCACTGTCAGCACTGGTTTTTCATAGGTAGAGCTTATCAGGAAATCCAGAAAGTACAGTGGAAAAATGAACTGAAATCTTAAATACACTGGAGATGGTTGTTCAGGATTTTGAGAACTTTAAAGGACTTTTGTGAACCTCTGTGCTTGAAAAGCAGCTTCAGTTTCATATGCTTTCATAGGCCACATGTGCTCCATAAGCAATCACTGGCCCAACTTTTCCAAATAGATTCACAGTTTAAATTAAGTCTAGATCACTTTTTTCTGTGGCTATTAACCCACTATAACTTTTTTTTTTTAAAGAATATTTAAGATGTAGAATTATGGTCTACAATATTTATGGCCTACATTGCACTTCATTTAAAAATAGATTTTAGAAATTTTGTCTTTCTAAAAAAGAAACCTTTTAAGTGAGTAGTAACAGAGGATCTATTTTGCCTGCTTCTGTGATAATAGTTAATATTCAAGTGCAGTTTTAACAACACTGGGATTATTACGTTGTGGAAATATACATAGGTCTGTGTTACTTCAAACCTTGTCTGAACTATGTATACATTTCAAATAGGAATCCTTATACTTGTTAAATTAGCACCTACTTTCAAATACTCTGTAAAAACAGCAGTTGTATCTTTTATTTGCACTTGTGTAGAGAAAAAAAAAGCCTGCTAACAATAATACAGAGAAGATGCATTTCCATGGCATTAACCACGCGTATGTTTGGCTTCACCCATCCAAACCTCATGGCTATATAGAACAGTAATAATTTAAACATTTTAAACTGTTGTGGAGGCTTTAAATGTGAACGAAATAAATGACTTGCTGATAATTATCAGAGGTAAAGCGACCTTTATTCCAGCGCTGTAGCAATAAACACAACGCGCTCGCCCGCGGCTCGGGGTTTATGCCTTTTAATGGTGTGGTTCAGATATTCCACGCCCGTGAGCCCGCCCCCGGCCCGCCTCTTCCTGCCCGGCCTGCCGGGCGGCGGGAAGCGCCGGCCCCATGGAGATGGAGCTCTTCGCATGGGTGAGTGGGAGCTCGGGAAGAGCCGGGAACTCCTCCTTCCCCGCGTCCCGGCGACGGGAGGGACGCGGGGCCGGATACTCGACACCCCCCCACACACCCTCCCCGGGATGCGCTCGCTCGCCCCGGGATCCGTTCGCCCGCCCCGGGATGCGCTCGCCCGCCCCGGGATCCATTCGCCCCTCCGGGATGCGCTCGCCCGCCCCGGGATGCTGCGGGGCTCGGCAGCTGGGACCGCGTACGCTGCCGCTGTCCCTCGCCGCGCTCCCTTCCCTGGGAAAAGGGGGCCGAGGTGTCCCCTCCCCGAAGGGAAACAACGCTGCGCTTTTACCTGCTGAGCACAGTAGGTGTAAGAGCCACTGAAGGGGCATCTCTGCCCCTTGTCAGCTCTGTTTGCCCCGCCGCAGCCGTGCTTGGCACAAGCCCATCAGTCTGGGCAGGGCACACCATGACCGGTGTGTTGTCGGCGTGGCCATACACGCCTACGGCTCCCGGTTCCTCAGGCTCCTGTTTCCTTTCTGCACCGTATCTCAGCTTGCCTGTTCTTGAAGGCTTGAAAATTCATTGCGAGTTATAGCCTACAATGGGAGCTTGTGACACACCTTCTAAAAAGAACTACGTCTGTTAAGTAGTAACACGCTCCAAAGCTGTCTGCCAGTGGTAGTGAGACTGTGAGACAACTTTATCTGCCTGTTGAGCTCGAATCCTGACATCTCGCCCACCTGTTAGCCGTGGGCTGAGGCAAGCAGCATGGTCTCTGTTTCTCTAGGTACAAAATGTTTATTGTTAAATGTGTCCTTTTAACATTCACCAGGTGCTGCATCTTTGGGGCGTGGAGGGTAAAATGGAGGGCGGATGGGCAGGGGGAGCACAGGTGAGGTAGGGAAAGTCTCCCCTGGGGAGATCACCAGCTGGGAGCATGGTGGGTGTGGAGTGTTTTACTACGGTGTGTGGGCTGGGAAGGTTATGATATCCCTTTTCATGAATGAAAGTTGCTGCTCCAACTGTTGGACATATAATTTAATTGGCTAAGAAAAATTTCATCTCTTGTTACCATGTTTGTAATTGTTGCTTTCTGTGATGGGACTAGTAGCTATAATTCTGTACTCATAAATTAATACTAGCTATAATTGGTATATTTTCATTTGGACCAGTTAGAGTTAAAAGACTTTGTTAATGAAGGGTAAATGTTTCTGATCTAAGTTCCAGAACTAGGTAGCATGTTGTTCTGATCTTATTTTGGAGGTGGACTGCTAGAAAGCAGTGGTATGAATAAGATCTTAATGATGAGTGGGAATCATTAGCATTAAAATGAAACACATCCTGATAGCTAGGCTTTCCTCCTTGGTAACTGTTAGCCTACAGTTGAAGTTTTAACAAGTTATGTTCCAGAATGTTTCTTAAAATACTGGAGTTGCAATGGCAAACTTAATGACATCAAAGTTAGGACAGTCCTGGCCTGTAATTCTGGAAATCCTGTGACAGTAGAAAGAGCAGAGATTGATATATTAGGGGATTTTCAGGAGCAAATACTGGCAGGTCAACCTGTGGCATATCCCCAATAAGCTTGTTTGTTCTTGGGAGCAGATGTGTGCCATTTTTGTTAACTTTAAAAAAAAATGTGTTATTTTTCTGTGTGCATTTGAAGGGTGCAAACAGCTATGGACAACTTGGTCTTGGTCATAAAGAGGATGTGCTGGTACCTCAGGCACTGAAAGATGTTTCCTGCAAATGTCAAGACATTGCAAGCATTGCTGGAGGAGGGGGACATTCTGCAGTTATCACTGGTAAAAACATTGCTCTTGCATGGAATGTATGGCTTCTAATCATGTTTTTTTTGTTTCCCTGATGGTTTGGTGCTGCCACCTCTCTGTGGCTGCTGTTTCTGAGCAAGTACAATCCTCAGTTGCAAAACAGGTTCCCTCCCTCCAGTTAACTCAGTATTTTTGGGAAATTTTTTTGAAATTGGGGAAATTCTCTTTTTCATATATTGTGTGGTTACTTTGTATCTTGTGAGGTCTGTTTCTTCATCTATTTTATGTAACAGCTTTTCATACAAGGAAGCCAATTGTTCTCTATTATGGATAGGGGAGTGGGAGGGAGGAGTGAAGTGAGAGGTTATTCAGTCTTGAGAAATATTAAGGTAAGGAGCAGAAGATAACATCTCGTCTTTGAAAGGTTCTGTTGTGTGCCACAGCTAATTATGGGAAAGAAGGAATACAGACAGATGTGAATGTGCTAAAAAAGTTCATCATGCATCTTATCCGAAGAGGTGCCTGTCTTACCATATGGGTTGTCTTCCTTGACAAACCCAGCTCTCCATAGCTGTAGTTATTCAGAGATTTTAGATGTATCAGAAACATCTGTTTCTGTTACTTTTTGCTTGAATGTAGTGCCTAAAGTGACACATAATCACTGTCCTTATTTGTCACAGGATCTCATGGATGTATGTTTCTCTTTTTAGTCTGTGAAATGGAACCCAGTTTGTTTTGTTTTTTTTTTCTTCCAGGTGGAGGACAACTCTTTGTATGTGGCCATAACAAAGATGGGCAGTTGGGATTGAATCACACAGAGGATGTGCTGCACTTTACCTTGTGCACTGCCCTATCTGGCTTTTGTGTAAAACAAGTTGCATGTGGCTGGGATTTTACAATCATATTAGTAGGTAAATCTGTCTCTCCATCTGGTGAATGAGAGGCTGGACATGGGCTGGCAGTGTGTGTTCGCAGCCCAGAAAGCCAGTTGTATCCTGGGCTGCATCAAAAGTAGCATGGCCAGCAGGTCGAGGGAGGGGAATTGTGCCCCTCCACTCCACTCTAGTGAGACCCCACCTGGAGTGCTACATCCAGCTTTGGGGGGTCATCAGCACAGGAAGGACCTGTTATAACGAGTCCAGAGGAGGACCATTGAGATGATAGAGGGCTGGAGCACCTCTCCTGTGAGAAAAGGCTGAGAGAGCTGGGTCTGTTCAGCCTGGAGTAGAGAAGGCTCTGGGGTGACCTTATTGTGACCTTTCAGTACCTGAATGGGGCTACAAGAAAGCTGAAGAGGAACTTTTTACAAGGGAATGTAGTGACAGGACAAGGGGTGACGGCTTTAAACTGAAAAAGAGCATATTTAGGTTCGTTATGAGGAAGAATACTGTGAGGGTGGTGAGACACTGGAACACGTTGCCCAGAGAACTTGTGGATGCCCCTTCCCTGGAAGTGTTCAAGGCCAGGAGGGATGGGGCTCTGAGCAACCTGGTCTAGTGGAAGGTGTCCCTGCCCATGGCAGGTGGGTTGAAACTAGATGAAAATCTAGTTCTTACAGTTCTGTTCCTGACTCTCTTTCACACTGTCATGTGTACTTGGGAGGGTCATAAGGCCTAAATATTTCTCCTGATGTTTTTAGAGTTTATGGTATAACTGTAGAAATCAAGG